CTAATTGCAACAAAATAATGTTTCAAGGGAGATGCATCCTACATCTAGAGAGTTCAGAATGAGAGGGTTAATTAGACATATAATCAAATACATACTATTTTTATAGAAACATAATTATAGGAAGGGAAATGCATTTTAGTGTATTTGAGGAAATGTATGCTCCACTTCTGGTTCTCTATTTCTATATATTAGTTTGATTATTACACGGTGAGTTCCCAACAGATTTCCCAACAGAAAAAGCATTAAGGATTTAGTACTGATAATTCCACGGTGGTCCAGTTTATTTACTCAAGGTAATGAAAAGAGCCACAGGTCCCACAGAATCCATAGATTTCTTTGTCTATGAACCTGAAAAACTTTTGCAATATCTCGGCAAAGCATCTTGCAGCAATGTAATGCTTGCTTATGGCATTTATTTTACAGACAGGGAGGAAGGCTCAGAGCAGCCCCACTGCTGACCATTGGCATGCAGCACATTGCTCAGGAACCAGCAGAGGCACAATTCTCTTGGTTAAATTGATCTCACAGCGGATAGGTACTGAAATAACACATTTTTAAGACTGCCATGCCAATCCTTCCTCCAGTCCACACCTGGAGCACTCTGCTGAGCCCACCTGCAATGAACAAAGCCCCTGAGGCTGTCCTTGCATTGCTGGTGGGAATCAGTCAGCAACAGTTGTTATTTATTGCTGTGCATTGTTCAGCTGGTGGTGTGTAATTGCATTGCATTGCAGGTATCTATGCTGTTATACTTGCATTTCTGTTTCCATTTTTCCCTTCTGTCTTGGTAAATAGCCTTTATCTCAGCCCACAAGTTATAATTCAATCCCAGTTTTCTCCCTCATCCCACCTGCAGGAAGTGAGCATGTGGCCGTGTGGTACTGAGATGCTGCTGGGATACACCTCAATATGGAGCCCAGTGCTCTGCTCTGCTCCTCTGAGTGCCCTTCAGTGTAGGAGAATGCTTACACTGCAATTGCAACATAATGTTCCTCCAACACTAGAGATAGAAATGCCAGCAACAAGGCCACCAGTGAGGAGATCTTGGGGATTTTAATCCTGGGGAAAAAAAAAAAAAAAGAGCTGCAGGTTTTAATGAAGAGATCACCAATGAAGAGGTTTGGAGTTTTAATAAAATGGTAATTTCAGCTTTTAACATGACCAAAAAAAAAGTCTCAGTTATCATCTGTTGGTTTTTCCTAATGTAGATGGGCAGAACCAGTGGATAAAGAGGTTTGTTATTAGTATGCAAGACATGCACAAAGTGCTCTGAAATCAAATTATGAGTAGGTGGCTAAGTACTTGGGTTATTTATATTGTATCTTCAGAGATATACTACGTACTGACTGTGATGACCCATCAGCTCCAGCTGAAGCGTTCAGCCCCAGAGTTTGATTTGTTGCTCATTCATTTTAGTTTTAAAATAGCCTTCATTCTGATCCCTGATGAAGCTAATGAGCAGTGCTTATGTACAGTATCCCAGAAGCAGTTAATAGCACAGTACCTAATTGCTGGGAAGAAGCATTTTTTTTAATGAGAATATTGCTATTCCAAGCCATGATTAATCAGTTAAAATCAGCAAAGTGCTGTTTACATAGCTCCTTCAATATAAATATTATGTAGTGGGCTGTTGATGGCATCTCTAAATATTCAGGAACAAGTGGAGAAGATTTAGGGACCTGAGCACTTATTCAAACATTGTCTGAACTGCCACTACATCTGAAGAGATGGTTCACTCTTGCCTTTACCAAAACTGAAAGTTGGGAAAAATTTAAAAATATGATGCTTTCTCCTTGGTCTCTTCAGTAGGAGTAGGAATTTGACAGTGCCCAAGCACATCTGTATTTTCTGGCAATAATTAAAAACAGACCATTAAGTGTATAATTTGGGGAAGAAAAGAGTTGCCTGACCATTGGGTCTCTTGTAGCTCAGGGGAAGCTAGAGCGGCAGAGCTGCTGCTCTACAGTTTTGGTTTTTTTTCCTGTGATTTAGATAGGATATGGAGAGCAGGTTGGGGGTTGGAGAGAGTGCTCACAGGAACCCTACGACAGGTTGCACAGGTAGCCATCTAGCCGGGTCTTGAATATCTCCATAGGAGGAATGTCCACAACCTCTCTGGGCAGCCTGTTCCAGTGCTTCATCATCCTTACCGTAAAGAAATTCTTCTGTATGTTGGTACAGCACTTTCTGTGTTCAAGTTTTTGGCCACTACTCCTTATCTTAACGCTACACGCCACTGAGAAAGATTTTGCCTTTTAATTTGGACAGATACATCAACATTTTCCACACTGTTTACAAGTTCCTTCCATCCAGCATTGATGGCTGCATGTTTGTGTGGTCAGCTGGCATGAAGCTGCCCAGAGCATATAGCTCACTGTGCTGGGTGTGGGGAGAATGGGAAAACTCATTTGAGCTTGAACTAGCTTCAATACTAGTTTTTATGGTAGCACAAATTGATGCATGGAGAACAAAACATAATCTGTGCTCTGAAGGCACTTTTGTCTATTTCAGCTGAAAATTGTATAAATTTTTGAAAGGTGAACTATAAAAATTGGGGCAGGTATCTTAAGTCTTCATTAATTGTGAATATAGGACACTTCAACTTTGCAACTCCACAAAACTATCACTCTATGTTGTTTTTGAGCATAAAAGCTTCATAGAAATGCAATGAAAGGAACTGTTTATCACTGCTTTATTTGTAATTTAATCTTAATAAATCAAAGAATCACCAAGGTTGAAAAGACCTTCAAGATCATCCAGCCCAAGCATCCACCTGCCACCAGTATTTCCCCACTAAAGCATGTCCCTCAGTACAGCATCAAACACTTCTTGAACTGGGGCGGTGACTACACCACCTTCCTGGGCAGCGCGTTCCAGCATCTGACCAAAATATCTGTACATTGAAAGCTGTCTTCTTGGTCTGTGAGGATAACACTCTCTCTGGTCATTAGGTTTATTTTCTCTTGTCCTTCTCCCACCTCTGAGTCTTAGCTTGAAAGATGAGATTTTAGTTTCCACTGACGATGTCCATTTCTTCTTCATCTTTTCAGGGCAGGCAAGTGTAAAAAAAATAATACCCAGAACAAAGTGCTGAACGCAATAGCTCTGATCAGAAAATGTTTCCATTTAGAAAAGGTGTTTAACTGTATTCTAATGCTCAATGAGACTTCAGTGAGAAAGATGTAGTGGTGTGTTTCCAGACTAAGAAAACAATTCCAATCAATTTGCATGCTTAATCCTTGCCAATAGAGCAGAAGGTCTGTGTTCCCTGATGACTGAGAATGATGAATATGCAGAGCTGGTGTGGTAATCTTTTAAGTGATGGGCTTTTTAGAAGCCTCAATAAAATATTTAGTAGGGAAGATCTTCCTATGTATACACCACAGACTCTTTGAAATATGGAATGCCTTGAAATAAAGTGCAATTAGCAACTGTAAATATAGGACTGCAAAAAAAAAAGGAGTAAGCACTTTTCAGGAAAAAGAAAGTTTGAAAAAGTAATAAATTGCCTTAAATTCTAAAAAGAGTTTCATCAATAATGGGAAAGGTACCAGAAAGTTTCTGTGACTCAGTACTGATTTTTATGCCTCCTTTGAAAGGCACTTGCAGGTCATTACTGAATTAGATGGAGCAACCCTGAAGATCCTCAGGGTTGCCATCCTCAGAAGCGAGGTATTTGTTACTCACGGTCACTGCAACTGTTTATTTTTGGAAAGCCATTAGTTCCACATTGTTCATAAGAAAGAACAGTTTCAAGTGCCTAGCAAAAAAAATCTGAAGTTTCTATTACTGCCTGTGAGTGTTTATACACAGCTCTTCTAAAGAATTTTATTTCTACCGTAAAATAATACTTCATTATCTTCTGTCTTAGCTTATTTTAGCTTTTCAGCTGATTATTAACTAACATCCTACTGTCAGCCGACTTGTGAGCATCATTTTTACCACCTGATGTTAAAGCCGTGGCATATACATGTAGGAGTCTGGTATAAAGAAACACAAGCAGTAGTGTAGTGTTTAGTAAGGAAATAACTTGGTAAGTGGTTAGGCCAGCCTCCGGGTGGACAAGAGTCTGAATAACTACTTTATTCCTACTGGCAATGGCAATTCACATGCATCTTCATTTTGTGTGATGCTGAAGAAGGCTGAATTTGGGAGGTTGTTTTTATTCCATCTATCCAATTGGCTAAGCCAAAACACTTACTGCACCACAGTACAATATTCATTTGGCTTCTCACTTATATCATATTGCCTGCCAGCCTTACACTTTAAGTTTTTGTTAGAATACACAGGTTATTTTTCATCTCTCCTTCAGCAGCTCAAATTCATGTTGGTGCCAGTTCTTCATTGCCCTTTCTGCATCTTTTTTCTTCAGTTTCTTCAGTTTTTCTTCATTTTTTCTTATTTTCGCTTACATTATCTGTTGCTTCATGCAGAAGAGGGTATTTTCTCTAAATATTAAATATACAGTAGAACATAAAGAATAAAGAAATCTCCAAACTAATCCTATGTGCTACTTTACAACTTCATTTTCTTTCAGTTTTAGCAGCCTACCAACATTAGGATTACTTTCTCCGGATAGCTCTTTTTTTCCCCAGTGTGGGTTAAATGCCTGTGCTGGGAAAAAAAAAGATTAAAAAAGCATTCTTAAGGGAATTTAAAGTGTAAGCCTTTATGTTCTATATTGTATTTACTAGAAATTCTGGGTGCATTAATATAGTTAATCGGAATGTGCTAGGAGAGGACAGGAGAGTGCCAAACCCCACCAGTCCCAGCTGTGCCTGGGAAGGTGCCATTGAGTGGCTCCAGCTGCATCCTGGGACTAGAGCAAGCCCAAATCAGCTGAATTAGTTTTCTGTTATTTTGGAGATTCATGGAGATTAAGACAAAAAATAAAACTGCCACTGCTGGTTTGCTCCAATTTCCTTCTTTTTACCAGGTAAAAGATGAGAATTTTTAAAATAGTATTGGACCTATGATTTATTCTGTTGTTTTTATTTCAGTTTTTGGTGTCCTAGTTAATGGAAATGGAATGTGGCTTGGAGGCTTCATTTGAAGAAAAATAAATTAATTGCACTTGAACATTCTCTGAAGATAGGAAAATATAAAAAGAGGCCATGCTGAGCATCTGCTTTAATAATTCCATGGACAGCAGCAGAAGAGGAAGGGTTACAGCAAACTTGGAAGGCAACCAGAGCATCTTTTATGTTCTTTTACTGTCTACTTTCTTTATTTTACATAGGACCTGTCATGAAGATCTTTCTACTTTCTTTCTTGGGAAAATAATTATACTTCTCCTTTAATCAGACAACTATTTGGTGTCTCATATGATTGTCTTCCCCCTCCCCCATTCTCCCCCCAAAAACATGGAGATATGTTTATCTTTACAGGTTGATTTCTGATGATTTTTGAAAGATGTGATCATTTCTGTTTATCTTTCCTAGAAATACTAGGCCTTCAGTTAGGACTGTTTAAACAGTTATTATTTTGGATGGGAAGAAGAAGAAAATAGGTGGATCACTAAGTATTGTCTATTTGCTTTTGTGATGTTCAATCTTGTTCTAAATGCTTTGTCATTACGTTTACTAGATAAAGTCACCTCTGTATTTCAGCACAAGAATTTGCTGCTTGTACTCTGTTGTGTCAGGATTTGTGTATATAATACCTTTCTCAAAGCTTACAGTCACCAGAAATCACAGATAGATTTAAAAGTGTGTATCTCTGGAAGATGCAGACGTGGAAATGCTTTTTCTCACTGAAAGGCATCTGAAGGGTGTACGTGAACTCTAAAGAGATCATTCCTTTAGCACTCTTCACTGATTTTCTATTATTCAAAAGTAACATAGAATTGGAAATAAGAAATTGCTCTAGTATTGGAGCTGATTTATTCCATACTTTGCTGTAAAATCAAACTAACTTCTCAACTTAAAGCTATGTTTTCCAATCAAATATCTTTTTCTCCTGTACACTGAAACCTCTTCAAACACTATAATTTGCAAGTTTAAGAAGCCATGTTGGGCCCCCTCTGAGTGCTGCAGTTAGTGGGTTCTCATAAGTATTCCTGTAAAGTATATTAAGGACTGTCATAGGTCAGCAATAGTAGCTGATAAGTATTCTAAATTCATTAAGTTGATTTGCACTGTTTTGCAGTTACAATAAAGTGACAAATTCAGGTATCATCGGATGACTTGATAAACCAGTGAGAGCTTGTCTCCAGCACCAGAGACCTTCCAGCGTTTGTCTCCAGCTTCTCCAACATATCAAACAGCTCCAGGTCAGTTCCTTATGGCAGTGCCTATCTGTAACTGCTGGCACACAGCTGCTGGTGCGCTGGCTGGCCGTGGGCTCTGCCATTGAGCTCATGTGTGTCTACCCAAACTTGGCCTTCTTGTGGGGTGCTCGTGCCTGCACAGGTGGATGCTCAGGTGCTTGGCTGAATCAAGGCTATGAGAGCAACTTCCCCCCTCTTCACAGTGAGGAATGGCCTGGGTACAACCCCATGCTCGAGAGCTGCCTTCTCCAATGGGACATCATACAGAGTTCTTAGTTTCACATCTGGAGTTGGTACTCTTTTCAATGTAGATTTCATTGCAGACATGGCTTATATTTACAGTGGGTGTAGAGACATCAGGGGATATAATAACATTTGAGGTTTCTGAGGTACGTGTTAGCTATGAAGTTGTAATCTATACCTCCCAGTTTCATAAACATGAAAAGAGATCGCTGTTTGTTTCCCCAGACACTCTAATTTGGGGCAGCAGCACTGAGGGTATGTCTGGCAGATATTTTGGAAGGAGGTAGCTCTTTTTCATTGTATTTGGGCTTTGAAACGCTGTCCTTGTAACTTGTTCAGAGAACTTTTACTGATGTAGTAATTTACTAATATTAATATTAATACTGTGACTTGTTTACAATTACATCCTTCACCAGTTTTTTAATTATTAGTACTAATAGTGAAGATTGTATTTTATTGTCAGTTTGGTTTTGCTTTGTAGGACCAATTAAGAAAACAATGATGATGTTTCCCTCCATGGTGCCTAGGCTGGCGTTCCACCAAAACTGCTCAAAAGGGGCTTCTGTGGTTGTGCCTCTTATGTGGAAAGAGCAGTTGTGCTCAGCTGGCTGAGAGGGCTGATGGCTTCTGTGCCACTCTGGTGGAGGCCAGCTCTATAGCTTCTCAAAAGCTATTCTCTTGTTTTATTAGAAAAGTAATTGTTATCCTACCTCAGGACTGCTGGAAGGCTGAGCTGTGGGAAAGGGAAAGGAAAGCTTTCCTGGTATTCTGGACCAGTGTGGTTTTCTGGATGTTTTAGCATGTGTCTGGGCACTTGGAAAAGTTAGAGCAGATGGTAATGCGCAAACTGGTGATAACTTCATTCATTCCCTGAGGGATGTTGTCATTAAGCTGGAGCTGAGCACCCACTGCCTTGGTGCTCTTAGCGTTCAAACATGGGTGGAAACAAAGGAGGTTACTTTCAGATCCAGAAGGCCAGACACTTTTTTACTGAACAGAAGAGACTGTTACAGAGGAAACACAGGAATTGCTTCTAATTTTGTGTTAAAAGCCTTCCTACTGTTCTGGGATCTTTCTTCTAACTGTTTCTCAATTACTTAGGGCCAGTTGGCAGTTTTTAAGAGCTTCACCACAATGCAGCAAATTACATAGCTATAAGATTTGACATAAAGATAACATTAAAAAAGCAAGTATAAATAATCCTTAATTTTGTTCCGTGCAAAAGTAGATGAAAATATACACTGTAGTATGTTTGGTCAAGCATACAAAGCAAGACTAATTGGGTTTATAATACAATATGTGACTACGGCTGTTGGTAGGTTCACCACTGTAATGCCTTTCTTATTATTTTAACACATGTAAGTACGTGAGTGTGCAGCTCCCCAGGGATGAGCTACAAGCTTGCCATAAGTTAGTAATCTGTTGTGTCTGTGTATACACACACAGCCCTCTGCCATGCCAAACAGCCTGCTTATCCATATGGTGCTGTCAGATGAAAACTGAACAGCTATGATTATCCATCTTGTGGGTTGTACCATGAATTTTTCCTTATAGGTAGCTTTTCTTTTTGAATTCACTAAATTAACTGCAGTTTAACAAAAACACAGTAATTATGAAAATTGGAAGGCAAAAAACAATACCAAAACATTATGTGCTGCAAGAAGTGCCCTGCACCATCCTCACTACAGATTAATTTCTACTGTTGTTGCTTACACAAGCTGTTGTGGCGATAAAGATGAATGTACATTAGGTTATAATTGCTCCCATATCCGCAGGAATCCTACTCTCAGCTTCTTCTCCTTGTTCTCCGGCTCCTGGAAGGTGAGGGCCATCATTCCCACATGTAATACATCTGCTTTGTAGGACATGGTTGAAATCCTTGAAGAGGGCCTTGTGATGAACCTGTTAGAAATTCTGTACTACCGCAAGGAGAGAACAAATGTAACGTGATCACTAAGAGGTACATATCAAAGCATTATCTGGGCTTTCATCAGCACTTCAGCCCACTCAGGGCTGAGAGGCAAAACTGAGTCATGCAGGGCTAATGCAATTAGCACACCTGTTGGCATTGATAAGCGTTGCACGTTTGGTCACCAAAATTTCATGAGGTTTCCAGCAATGCTGTGAAATTTATGGCCTATATCTCTTCCGACAGCATACATTGTGTCTTCATCTGACATGGACTTTCCATTTCTGATTTTTTCAGCTAGTGGAAAGCTAAAGATCATAGTCTACAGTCTACTAGATCAAGACAGAGGAGCCGCTCTCCTCTCACTATGAGACCAGCTTGCCTGCCATTTCGTAGAATCATAGAATGGTTTGGGTTGGAAGGCACCTTTAAGATCATCTGGTTCCAGCCACTTGCTATAAAAGGGACACTTCCCTCTGGACCAGGTTGCTCAAAGCCCCAGCCTGGGCTTGAATGCTTCCAGAGTAGGGGCATCCACACCCTCAGTGAGCAGCCTGTTCCGGTGTCTCACCATTCTCACAGTAAAGAATTTCTTCCTAATATCTGGTCTAAATCTACATCTTCCAGTTTAAAAGCTTTCTCTCATCCTGTCACTATGCGCCCTTATAAAAAGTCCCTCCCCAGCTTTCCTGTAGTCTCCCCTCAGGTACTGGAAGGCTGCTATGAGGTCCTCCAGAGACTCCTCTTCAGAGCCCCATTTCTCTCAGCCTGTCCTTGTAGGGGAGGTGCTCCAGCCCTCTGATCATCTTCATGCCCCTCCTCTTTTATTTATTTATTTATTAACATTTACAAAGCCTGAGTTAACCATGTAGAATAATTAGCTTGCAGAATGCAGTGCCTCTGAAGGAGAACAAAGCAGGATGTATTTCTGACAGGTCCTTTTTGTGTCTCCCGCATACAGCGGGTCTGGAGTGACAGAGAAGAGGCAGTGAAGAGTGCTCTTTCTTCAATATTGCTTAAAAATAAGAGGCAGGCAGATAACTACTTTTCATTTTTCCAGAAGAGATAACAAAACAGAAAGATAGCAGTTTCTAAACTGATTTCTCTCATTTTTCACAGTAAATCTATGTTTGAATTGAGCACAGAAAGAAATATCTTGCTTGAGGTGATTGTTCATACAGCAGAGCAATGGCAAGTAAACGAGTTTGGTATTATGCTGTTATTTCTCTGCTCTGACATGTTCAGGGGTAAACTAAACATCATTAGATGTAAACTAAGCCACATCCATAAGAAGTGCCTGAATTTAATATTTAGGTGACTAATAACACAAACTCAGCACCAGAAATTAACCAAATGCTCCCAGTATTTCCATCTCACTCTGCACCTCATTCACAGCCCAGCACTGAGTGCAATTGATCACAACGTTTCACTGCTACAGTCTTTGAAGAAGCAGCCTACAATAGCTGGAATATGAATTTGATCATAAGGTAGAATTCTTCATCTTATTAGAAGGTGGCTTGTTTTTCTGCTTGCAAAGGGAAAGAGGTGCTTTTGGGGTGAAATAATTGTTGTTTTACAGGAGGCTGCTAACACAGGCTACATGGATCCCATTCCTGTGCCTGCTGCTCTCCATTTTAAAAGAGGACCCAAAATGAGTAGCTCTGATGTAGACATCAGTTGTGCAGCTATGAAAGCTCAGGTGAGATAAATGATACCCTTAATGTAATAAAACAAGCATTGCCATCCCCCATTTCTTCATCTGCACGTCCCTTCCTTACCTGTTGCTTTTCATTTTTTCAGTCTTCCCACTGTTTCCATCCATAGGAAAGCAAAGCGCTTCCTGCAGAGACCAGCAGAGTCTCCTGCCTCTCAGTGATCTGGGGAACGCGTGCTCAGGTGGCCATTTCAGAAGTGACAGGACTTGGCAAACACTTTGCTTCTTCAGCAGTACTGTAGGCTGACCTTATGTGGACTCCCTACCAGCTGTGGGGGCAGTAACCTCAGATGCACCAAACAGCCAAAGCTGGTACAGTGCTGCAGCACCTGTCCAAACAGAGTTTTTCTGCCAGTTGTTCCTGGTTCTGTTCTGGTCCTCCTTTTACCTGTAAATGAGCCTTTATACATGAACCAATACATTCACAAACATAGGGCCATGGTTAGTGGGCACAGTGATGATGGATCAATGGTTAGACTAGAGGATTGTGGTGGTCTTTTCCAACATCAGTGATTCTGTAGATCCTGTGGAGACTAGAAGGTATGCACTGCACCTTCATCACCACTTTGCATGAGAATACATCTGAAATCCATTTTACCTCTTTGTAGAATGTTTATGTTGTCAATGCCTGAGAAACATAAACCCTAAACTATCAGAAAACTAATTTGGTTGCAGTCTGTACCCATTCAGGTAGGGGGAAAAAATGAAGAAACTACAGTCAAGGTGATGAAAGAGAGAGTCAAAATAAGGTATTTAAATTGCTATTTATTGCAAATTAATATTAAAAGCAGATCCAAAAATTCTGTTGTGTGCAGCAACAGTCAACTCTAATTCTTTCAGCTGATCTCTCCTTCCCTGTGTTTTTGTTTAGTAAGTAACCCGTCAGCTCTGATCAGGAGTGGGATTTGTTAGTGCTGAGGCAACAAACAGCCCCACAGCTAGCTGCCCTACGGGGAGAGGAGTGGCAAGCTGCCAGAGCCTAGCACTCTCTGGCCAGGCCTTTTCAGATAGTCCACACAGGGAGGGCTTAATGTTTCAATACTCATTTTACCTGCTTGAAGGTATTTGATGAAACAGAGGATCTTCACGTAGCAGATAAACTTACCCTAATCACAACTCAGTATAGCAATTGCAGTATGGATGAGTGACAGTAAAAACATGATTCCCATTACTGACCTTTATACACTCATTGTCAGGATGTCAGGCATCCTAATTGCCAGGAAGGAGCAAGTTGCTTGAAGCCAGGTCAAGCCTGTTGCTTTTTTCCAAGCTAATTTTGCAGATTGCTTGGCTTCTGCACTCAATGTAGGGCTGAACCACGTAGCCACTTGGCCCATGCTGGTCTGGCTGTCACATAAAGACATTCATGTTCTTCTGGTGAACTCAAGTGAGGTTATTCACAGCCCATGAATAACTCAACTGACAGAGATACTTGTCTACACAGAAAAAACAAGCCACCTTCCAGTCCCCATGGTGCTAAGTTCATCTTCCTTTACAACAGATGTGGTCGCTCCCCATGGTTTACACTTTACACAAGGAAAAGCACATTTTTCTTGCCCATATCCTGAAGATTCTCCATTGCAGAGGTTTGTTGGCCATTCACATAAACTTGACATAGTGCAGAGAAACACTTTAGAGGGCAGATAATTTGAGTTCTTCAGATAGATGACAAGATTAGGAAAACATGAGATAAAAACTCTTTTATCTGTCAAGCTGTGCATTTGGTCTTTGGCACAAAGATGGGGAACAGCCATGCAGTTCTACCACACAAAGCGAGAAAATTAGGAGGAAACAAACAACATAAATTAAAATAAATAAATGAATAGTAAATATTTAAAAAACAAAAACAAAAACATTTCTTCCATAATATAAGGAACATTCATAGAATGGTTTGGGTTGAAAAGGACCTCAAAGCCCACCTATCCCAACCCCTGCCATGGGCAGGGCTGCCCCCCACCAGCTCAGGCTGCCCAGGGCCCCATCCAACCTGGCCTTGAGCGCCTTCAGGGATGGGGCACCACAGCTTCTCTGGGCAGCTGTGCCAGCACAACACCGCCCACTAAGGAAAGAATTTCCTCCTTGTGTTTAATCCAAATCTACTATTTTTTAACTTAAAGTCATTACTGTTTGTTGCTACATTCTCTGAAGAGAGTCCCCCCCCAGCTTTCCTATAGGCTCCTTGCTCTTCTTTTTGAGAGGCGTGTTTTTATTAAGAAGTTAAGCACAAAGTCTCTACGTCAAAGAGAAAAATAAATCCATCAGGGAGATGTAACATTAGAAGTATGATGAGCTTTGAGGTTGCTGAATTCATACGTGAATCACAGACTTGGGCACGTTAACCATCTCTTGTGAAAGGTCCTATATCGGCCCTTTCTGACACCACCACAATGATGACTCCGGTCACTGAAGAAACTGAACCTCTACCTCTCTACTCCCAGAATTTGGGAAAACAATGAAAAGAGAGAATTTTAAATGCATTTGCATGAAGTGTTCAGCATGTTATTTGCTGTTATGACTGAAGAGTTAGGATTATGTTTTTCGTATGCCTTTAGATGTACATTTGTTGAAAACTTGTGTGTGTGTGTTTGTGTGTGCGTGTTGTCATATAAAACAGGAGACAATAAGTTATTTCCTTGGGGTAAGACACAGGTCCCTGGATAGAGAACTTCTTTCAAAGTGGTTTCTCTCACTGAACAAATTTGATGTCAGCAGAATTTGTGAGCCAGAGAAAGAGCAACACAGTTATCTTTCACTTCCAGCTTTAAGGAACAGCTTTGAAAACCACTGGGAAACATTTATATTCCCCACATTCACTGCTGCAATAAACCCAGTTTCATTTTCAAAGCCAGGCAACAGCATGTGGGAATTTCACACCCTTGGTGATTTTTATAGTTCATGAAAACATCTGTATTTCCTCCTTTGGTGGTTAGGTAATTTCTGTCACAACCAGAATACACTTAAATAGCTTAGCCATATTTAATGTAATGTTGTGCTATTACTCTGTGGTCAATGTTATCATTATGCCTCTTTCCCAAGTTTTATTTGCAGTGCCCTTCCTGAGGTACTGTATCTTCTGATGTGCATTTTCACTGCTTTGTTACCAGCAGCCCTCTGGGACTGCCAGACCCACAGCCTTGCAGAGAAGAGAAGCAGTGCTTTCATGCCCCAGATCTGCCCATGAAAGGCTCAGACACTCTGCAGCAGGAGGCCAGGACAGCTGCACATTTGCCTAGCACTTCAGTCAGTGTTTCTGCATCCTTTCTGATGGGTGCAGGCACCCTGGCTCTCAGGTCAAGAGACCTAGACAGGCTTCAGCAGCGGGCCCAGGGAAACCTCATGAGCAAATCTAAGTGTAGTCTTGCACCTAGATTGTGGCAAGCCCCACTATAAGTTGGGGGATGTAAAGATGGAGCACAGACCTGTCAAAAAGAACCTAAGAGTGCTGGTGGAAGGCATGCTGGACACGAACCAGCAGTGAGCCCTCACAGCCCAGAAAGCCAACTGTACTCTGAGCTGCGTCCAAAGAAGCATGGCCAGGAGGTAAGGGAGGTGATCCTGCCCCTCTACTCTGTACTAGTGAGGCATCACCTGGAGTATTGCATCCAGATGTGAGTCCTCAGTACAGGAGAGACATGAATCTGTTGGAGTGCATCCAGATGAGGGCCACAAAAATGATCCAAAGGATGGAACAACTCTTGTATGAGGACAGGCTGAAAGAACTGGGGCTGTTCAGCCTGGAGTAGGCTCTGGAGAGACCTGAGAGTCGCTATTCAGTGTTAAAAGAGGGCTATAAGAAGAAAGGGGACAGACTATTTATGAGGGTCTGCGGTGACAGGGCAAGGAAAAATGGTTTCAAACTAAAAGAAAAGAGATTGAGATTAGATATAAGGAAAAGGTTGTGTTTTTTATAATGGTAAGGGTGGTGAGGCACTGGCACAGGTTTCCCAAAGAGGTGGTAGAAGCCCTTACCCTGGAGACATTCAAGGCCAGGCTGGAGGGAGCTCCGGGCAGCCTGATGTAGCTGTAGGTGTCCCTGTTCACTGCAAGGGGACTTGGACCAGTAATCTTTAAGGGTCTCTTCCAACTCAAACAATTCTATACCATGATTCTCAATTCTTTATTGAAAACATGCAGCTGGTGTTTGAAACAACCTCACAAAAACAGAATTCCTACCAAGGATTTATTAGAAAAAAGTAATAGACACTGTAAAGAATCTTAAATGCCAGAAGTTTGCACCAAATTCTCACTGATTGAAGAATGGAATCTTTCAAACCGGAAAGCCACCTCACTAGCCACCTAAAAAGGTTACAGTAAAAAAAAAAAGCACAGTGATGCTGCTAAACTACTCTGCTTTTCTAAAGGATTTAATTGGGAGAGGGAACCACACGTGACCTAGATGAGAAGATAGATGCTCATCCAGATAGATGCTTATGCACAAAACTACAAGCTGCCTCAAGCGTTACCACTGATGGAATAACATCACAAGCATAACATTTCAATGGTGAAGAGTATTCTTCATGACAAATCCTGTATGCGTGCAGCTGTTAAGTGCTCAAATGCAGAGTTAGCAGATGAGGGCAACAAAAGTTCATAGTTAATCTAGCTGGACTGTTTCTCTTCCCCATCCACTTCAGTTACAGAAGTATTGCTCACAAGGTGATCATTTGCACTAAGAAGTGTTACAGACTTGAAAAAGTGGAAATTTGGAAGATTTTTGAAATCCAGAAAACAAGATCAGTCAAGGAACCATCAAATACCTGGGGAAACTGCTTCGTCAAAGGATATATTTCAGCTTGGAGTAGAACTAGAGGGCAGTGAGCCAGGAAAACATGATGGAACACTGCTATGAACATAGCATCATGTTTGGTAAGCTCATTATTGCTACAATTTAAAATAAAAAGGATCTTGTTATCAGTCTCTTGAAAAATCTGATGGTTGTCTGTTTTAATACTGTAATTAATGCATGAACAAATAAATGAGGACATTGTGCAGGCAGATTACACAGTATTCTATTTAATCAAATTGTGACAAGATCATTAGTTTGCTTTTTAAAATACACATTATTTTATGTATTTAATGTCAGTTCTACAAGATAAGCAAATTTTGTTTGGCAGCTAGTGTTGTACCTATGATGCCAATTCTTACTAGTAGCATTGATCTGAGCTCTTTACAAAGGCTACAGCACGGCCAGTCAGTCTGCTTCTCAAATAGTTTCACGTAAGTAATGGTAAAGCCTGAAGCAAGTTTCAAAAACATACTTATAAGGATTTGCCTTGTGGGTTTGTAACTTATTTTTCTTGATTGTTCTGTGTGGTACAACAGTGACCTGAGGTATCAGTAACTGCAAAGAGTATCAGTGTACACTTACAGAATCACAGAACGGCCAGGGTTGGAAGGGACCTCAAGGATCATGAATTCCCAACCCCCCTGCCACAGGCAGGGCCAGGGCCACCAACCTCCCCATTTAATATCAGACCAGGCTGCCCATGGCCCCATCCAACCTGGCCTTGAACACCTCCAGGGATGGGGCATCCACAGCCTCTCTGGGCAGCCTGTTCCAGCACCTCACCACTCTCTCTATAAAGAACTTCCCCCTGACATCCAACCTAAATCTTCCCTCCCTCAACTTCAAACCATTTCCCCTTGTCCTGCAGTTATCTACCCTTTCAAAGAGTTGATTCCCCTCCTGTTTGTAGGCTCCCTTTAGGTACTGAAAGCCTGCAATGAGGTCACCCCACAGCCTTCTTTTTTCCAGGCTGAATAAGCCCAGATCCCTCAGCCTGTCCTCATAGGGGAGGTGCTCCAGCCCCCTGATCATCTTTGTGGCTCTCCTCTGGACCCTCTCCAACAGCTCCCTGTCTTTCTTGTACTGGGGGCTCCAGACCTGGATACAGTATTGCAGATGGGGCCTCACAAGAGCAGAGTAGATGGGGACAATCATCTCCTTGTCCCTGCTGGCCACCACTCTTCTGATGGAGCCCAGGACACCATTTGCTTTCTGAGCTGCAAGCGCACACTGCTGGCTCATGTTCAGCTTTTCATCCATCAGGACCCCAGGTCCTTCTCTGCAGGGCTGCTCTCAAGGACCGCTCCTTCCAGTCTGTATGGATGCCTGGGATTCCTCTGGCCCAAGTGCAAAACCTTGCACTTTGCCGTGCTGAACCTCATCAGGTTCACCTGGGCCCACCTTTCCAGCCTGTTGAGGTAACTTATTACCAACGCCCAATAGCTTTGAGTTTTCAGTTTGTAAAAGTTCACGATCAGCAACAGAATCATGGTCATATTCCATTATTGGTCATAATAAAAAAGAAAAAAGGCAAGAACAAGAATATCCATTTGGTTTAAGAACAACTGGAGCAGCGACTAAACCAATCAGTAAGGCCTCCATACCCGTGGTGACAAAAGATGACCGATGCCTTTCACTGAACAGCTGCTCATCCTGATGAAAGCAAAGTCTATGCAGACATCTATTTAGAGGAAAGAACTCACAAATCATCATAAAGATACATCATACTTTGCTAACTCCAAAGCTATGCATCTGAGTGTTATCCCCTACATGCAGGATGGGTTAGAGGGCTACAAACCCATGGATCCAGACCTCAGGCAGAGTTGCTCTCATTAGCAGTGAGGCACTCTCCCAAGCACACTGTACATTTACATTACTGCCAAAGGTAACTTCAGCTTTGCTAAGAATGAATTGAATGGACTCATAATTAGAGAAGAAAATTTAAGGGGAGGTATATTCCCTAATATTCCCTAGTACCAGCAATTTGCAAGGCTGGTTCAGGACACTTCAGAACAAATCAGTAAATGAGGCCATGAAAGCTTATGATGAACATTCCCCAGGCTGTGATTTATGCCTTGACGGGGGGCAGCTTTGGCTGATCCAAGTCCTTGACTCCCAGGCAGCTCCAAAACTGTCCCTTCTTCAAAGGTGAGGAAGCAAAGCGTTTGTAGCTGAGAATTTGCTCTGTCAAACTGTGTTATTGTGCTCTTTCTTCTAGTTTGAACGGAGGTATTACTTCTGGAGTGACCTACATACATGGCTGCTCAATGCTTCCCAAAGGCACTGTGTATGTCATTTCAGCCAAATCGGCCACCAGCAGCTGCAGGGACTGCTATCCCACACCTTTGCAACTTAACAACAGAATTTGGTACTAATTGTTAACAGCATATTGGTAACAGCAATACATACACAAAGAAACACCCACCCACATCCCTCAACTTTTCTCAAAACACTTTTGAAAACCATTGAGCTTTCAGTCAAAAATCATGTGTCACATGTACTGCAAGTTTTAAACAGCTTTTGGCTTTGTTTCTAAAAGCAGTAATGTATTTACTTCTGTTTTTAAAAGCAAACCTATCAAGGTAGACTTTGCTGACATCAACAAAGTCATTATGGTGTGAAAATAAGGGATAATTAAACTGTCAAAATCTTCAAAGCTGAATTTGAGAAATTACGAAGTATCTCAAATGTTTTAAGTTGCAAAATAAATTATCTGGAAATAAATTGTCTACAGAGTGTTTTGACGAACAACTACTGTTTCCAAGGAAGAATACTGTGTAAAATAAATGGCACTTCTGCAAGAGCATTTTTTACTATCAATCTAAAAATTAGCATAGCCCCTTCTCAAACAACTTCACAGGGTTTCTACAAAGTTTTAGCCAACCCATTTCATGTATTTTCATTTGAGACCAGTAGTATGGATCCAAGTTGAGGGAGGGAAGATTTAGGTTGGATGTTAGGGGGAAGTTCTTCACAAGGAGAGTAGTTAGGCCCTGGAACGGGCTGCCCAGGGAGGTTGTGGATGCCCCGTCCTTGGACGTGTTCAAGGCCAGGTTGGACGGGGTCCTGGGCAACCTGATCTGCATGTGTACGTTTGGTGGCCCTGCTAGGCAGGGGGGTTGGAACTACGTGATCCTTGAGGTCCCTTCCAACCCGGGTGATTCTGTGATAGTTAGATGAAATTGTTCATCCAAGCTTCCTCCTTCTAAACAGTGTACTGACAACCACAGTGTGCAAATTACACAGAATCACAGAATGGCCAGGGTTGGAAGGGACCTCAAGGATCATGAATCTCCAACCCCCCTGCCACAGGCAGGGCCACCAACCTCCATGTAGAAAGCAAGAAAAAGCAGTACTTACCCAGCACTATGGATCACCTTGACAAGTTAGAAGAACTGGAATGTAATTCCTGGAAGATGTACCACGTAACATTAGAAATTGTCTCTCGAAACTTCACAGGTCAAAACCCAGCAATGTTTATGAATAACACAAACAGCTTTATGTAAAGATATAGATACTCCAGAGGAAAAAATAAATTAGCTGTCACAGTCTGTTGTTAGGTGTTGTTGTTAGATGTATGCCTTTCAGTTTGGACTTCTCTCTGTTAATACACCATACTTTAAAAGGAACCTTAACATTTTAAAGCCTACTTCCAAATAAATAATAAAAAACAGAATCTTTCAATTGCAGCAATTTCTAAAATGAAAGAATTGAATGCTTGATTCAAATACAAACCTAACCTGGAATTTATACAGAATTCAGTTTAGCAGAAGGAATGCACAACTACATTCTTACACACTTGTTGACAAAAAATTACATGTAAAAGTGATTTTGTTAGATCAGAATGTGTTTTATGACTGAAATCGTAATGTGAATAAAAATACAGCTGTAATACAGCTATAGAGCTTTCAAGCTTTATGGTACAGTGAACTATTGCCATCAAGGTTATTAAGAGTATATACTAATAAATTGGTATGCAGACAATTCTTTTTTATGCTACTCAACTTCTCTGCTCTGCCACAAAGCCTCTGTCTTAGAGACTGTAGCTGAAGACAGACTTTTGTTACCATATACTCAGTACTGCCAAGGATGAGCCAGAATGCCTGTAATCAAAACTGCAAACAAAAGCTGCTGTAGGTGTACAAAGCTATTCTCCAATAACAATGTTCCATTCAGAAATAAGAAAAAAGTTACCAACACAGAACATGCTGAGCCCTGTTTCTACACCATTAACTGCACAGAATACTCACCATCTCAGTGGGACGCCTGCTAGGACAACCTGATATTCAGAGAAACAAGATTTGAATCTCAGTTCAGTATTCAGCCATTGCCTCATGAAAATCACGTTGACCACAAGAAGAAAATCCCCACCCTCTGAAAGAAATTTGCCACAGCTGCGGGATCAAGCAGAAGACTAGAGACAATTTGATGATGAAAGCAAAAAGGCTGTATTTTTAAATCTTCCCTATTATATACGAGAACAAATGC